CGCACGGCGCAGCACCGGTGAATTAGTTTGCAGTGATGTAGACTTATGTAGTATTTAGCGTACTCTTTCATCCCACTCCCACCAGACTCCGATGACAAGGCAATGTTAAGACCACCGCCAATGGGTTTGGACGCAGTATCTGACAGAGTTAGAGTCTTACTACGCGTGCCACCCCATACAGTAAGGCGCTTAAAGCCGTAAAAAATGAAAATGGCTGAAGGAAAAACTTACGTCCATAGGGCGAATTGGAGAAGAATTTAAGCAACATGGGTCCCCTTCGGCTATTGTTGCCCAGAAAGACAAGGAAGTTGACCAGAGCAATACCTAAAGAACTGCAGATGAAGCTTAACCGGATGAACCTACCCCAAAAGAGATCAGTGGATCTGGGAGGACGTCCTACTAGAGACTGAAAGATTTGCCGAAGCTAAACCGAAGGCAATAGGTATATTTGAGTGAAAATTACCAAGACAAGGATTAAAAATTGTCGGATATAAAATTGCAGAAAGAGATTATGCATAAGCTATATTCTTTAAGCGAGTTTTGAGAGCGGCAAAGAGCTAAAAAGTGAGAATGCGATTTAAAATCGATACGGCCTTCAGATAACAGATGAAAGCTTCGGTGTTAGAGGATAATCTAACGCCTTAAGACACCGAAGTGCTGGTGTTTTACGGCGTCATTACTTAGAATATAGCAACTGGTTTCGGTCGCACTTGCACCTTGAAACGCAGGACTGTACGCGAATGGCAGCCCCAACGACCGAGATTTTAGCAGAAAGATTCCGCGATTTCGAAAACGACAGCATAAATTTGATAACTAGTTCCTAATACTGTCCACCTTCATGCCACAAAAATAAGGATTTGAAGGTTGCACATTGTGATCAGAAGCATTGCAGGAACGAAATGTAGCCGACGACGACAAGTCATCCAAGCCTTTACTGTTGTACTAAATGTCTCAATGCTCATGGTCAAAATGGGCTAGTTTTCGGACATCACTTATTTGCCTAGCCACTATTGACTCCAGTGTGGAGCATGAATGTGGTTCTTGAGATTGGTTATAACAGAACCGAATGAGATGACGGCTCTTAACAGAAAGTATTTTCTTTCAATCTCTTCCTTTTCGTCAATCCAAAAAAGTCTACCAAGAATTTCAACTAAAAAAAGTAAATGCATTAGGACAACAGAACGAAAAGTTGACCAGCCACATAGTGCGAAACAAGTCAAGTTATTTGACATATAGAAGGCAGGTGCAAGGGCCTGGGCAAAAACATAGATAGCAGCTGATAAAAACGAGCACGATCAAAAGCACTCCATGAACATTGTGACACTTTGAGATTACAGTCAAGAGGAGTTCAATTTGAAGGATGCATTGCCGAGCGTGATCGACACCAGCACCACAATCAGTATTTAGAGACTATGCGAGTTAGCTGGTTGAGCAATCACGTAACTCCATAATTTTAAGAGACATTCCGATTCATAAAACTGCGAGCAAAGTAATTTTTGCATGCCCTTTGCAAAAACAAAATCAAGTTATGACGGAGAAACTCGGTTAGCGTTTAAGAGAAAACATTTTCCTTTGTTTTAATAGTTTTATTGATTAACTGTTCCAAAATGCTGTTTACTTAAAAGGCTTTGAGGATATTTTATGGTTTCCGTGAACGAACACACACAAAGCGACTGTAAACAGCGTGCGAAACAGGTGCCCGACAGGCAATAACAACGCTAGTGTCCTATGTTGTTGGTATCCAAATTTGTCGACGCGTAATGTGTCAGTATTTGTTCTGTCTGCAACTCTTCATTACATCATTAAAGAGATGGAAACCAAGAGATAGACGAACAGACTTACACGACCTCCAAATTTTTGTTTAGAGGGCAGGTTTGAAGACTTTCGCCAGTTCTCATAACTCCAGATAATAGAGCCGACGAAAACGACATTTACGGAAACAAATGAAAACAGACCACAACGAAGAAGAATAGATCGGATGACAGGTGGTCCCCGAAGGACAGATACAGTTGGCGTCCTTGGGAATTGAGCGACATCTTTCCGTAAATTCGAACGACTCACGCGATATACACGAGTTCGGAATGCCTGACCGAGCAACAGCCCACGTCCAAAAACTAAAAGGGGAATCAAGGAAAAGCAATGGAACTTTTCAATGAGTGAGCTGACGCGAAGTAGATACTGTTCAGGCAAAGTATGCGATAAAGACCCTGACGCAGAACGGACTAACAAATCTAGAAGAGGTCGAAAGAAAGGCCAATGCTACTGGAAAGAAAACTTGAAATAACTGCAAAATCATGAAGCGAATTCGTTTTCATCATCATCAACATTATCCCAACCACTATCGAAATGAGACATAAGTTAACCTGAACGTGCCACTGCGAAGTGAATAACAGGAAGCATAATTGAAGGGGTATCGCCATCTGCACCATAAGGTCACGTCTGAAAGTATAACAAGTTAATAGAGAGATTTGGGCTTCTCAGTTTCGCTTCTAATGAGGAAGCTCAACATAGAAAACACTGAAGTAACATCATTTTGATGAGATAGAAGCTAACTTTTGGTGCCTAAAATAGGGCTAACGAAATAACGTAAGGAGTTAAATACCTACTTCAAATGTTTGGAGGTATCCGGCGACAAAGTTATTCACTGTACCAGTTTAGTTGGCGCCACGTCTTCAGTCCATACAGGACTAATCCCGTATCGACGTAATCGCTCGTCCAGACTGATGGGAACTGGTGGATGGGCCAGGCCTAATATCGTATCAAAGGCACTAAAGTAGCCGCCTGGACTTTAAATGAAGTAAGCTCAGGCGAACAACCAGTGGATCAACAAAAATGACACATGAAGACCAAAAGCAATACCTGATAACTCAATTATCTGCATCGCTGAATGAGTATTAACCCAGACAGGATATTTCCTGTTTTGCAATCCCAGTGGTTTATCCGCACACGTTTTCGGTTACAGGGGAAAGGGCGTTCACCAACCTGGTTATGGTACATACTCGTTTTGTTATGTCAAAATTAGAGTACTCGCAGACAGCTACATAACAAGTAATAATGCAGTGCACACGCGGATAAAACAAGATGAATAAGGATGACTATCTTAATTTAGTAGCTGTTGTGGGTCAACGACACCCAATGCTCGGATTTGGTAGCCTGGGATTCAAACCAAGGATTTTTGTACGTTACGCCATTACGCCACGGGCTGGCTGTCATTCCGATTGTGGTCGAAAAAATGAACTATGGCGGGAAAACACATTCACTGGCCTTTGTCGGTACGCCCAAGTGGCCACTCCTTCCGTGATCGAGGGTCTCTGGCAAAATGAAAGTGTGTTGGACTTAAACGCTCAACACCCGAATACCTTAGGTTCGAATACTAGATTTTCAAAATCTGGTATTGCGTATGACACCCGAAGACGACTAATAAGCTAGGAATGGCCATACTAATCTCCTTCATCTCCATCGGTAGTCCTTCCTACCGCATTTACCGAATTATCTTAAGTATAATGTGAAATTGAGATGTTCGGTACCATCCCAGAGCTCCAGCACAAAATCTTCGCAGAAATTCGCACAGCTAACGGCGACCTGTCGTAATTTACGACTTTGCAACCGTGCGTAGACTACTAACCTCTATTTGAATACAATAAAATTTTACTGCATCGGTAGTATTTACATGAGGGTCAAACGAAGAACTCGATTAACATTCATGTTTCATCAATAGAGGGTAGGGAACGGATCCATGTAAACCCCTTCTTTGCAGCCACCGGACATATGGAAGTTTTCAGGTTAGAC